CTGACATCCCCGTTGCCTCAGCACTATAAGAGGGTTTTGCAAGAGCAGTCACTCTCATTGCTGAGTGGTTTTAAGGCAATAGTGTAGTTATGGTGAGGCCACAGACCCCATTTTCGTTCTTGTGGACACTGGTGGTCCATGGGCCACAGGTAGGGAACCACTGGCCTAAGTGAGCAAAGAAAGAAGATGGAGAGGAGGGAGCAATTCCACTGCTATTCCTTCCCATGTTGCTCTGTTGCCCCACCTATTGTCACTCCAAGCAGCAACCTAAACCCTTTTGCTCATAACGATTTTTGGAAAAACACCAGTAAAGGAGGAAAGAGTTAATAGGGCGTTCCAAGCCCTTCTGTCAACATCCATCTTACTGGACCCTGGGATAGTTGCAAGATTACATTCACACTGACTCAAGTTCTCAAGGCATTTTCCCATCCAGCATTAGGGACTGGTATAATTTCCCAGAGGATCCTTTCCTTCCAAGTCATTTAGACTGCTGAGCCATACTTCATTCCAAAAGAGTTTCAGGACAATCCGTCATGGCTTCATCCTCCCATGGGGCACTAGAAGAAGACTTGATCTGAGCCGGGTGAGGTGGGGGTGGGGAAGTTAACCAAATGGAGTGTTTATTTTTCCATAGACCCTTGTGGGTACAATTCATGACAGGGTTTTATAAGGATAAGACTGTATCAGAAGAGAACCCATGCTTCATGCCTTTGGATGCAGTACATATTTACTTTCCCCCGTCCCCCTGCATGTAAATGCTCTAGTCTGTTTAGATAAGTTGTGGATTAATAGGTGCCCTTTAACCTCATGTAGTCCCTTTCCTCCTTATATCTTTGACTGCTGGATTTGCATTTATAAGCAGATGTGACAGCAAGGCTATCCTGTCTTAATCATGTATAAGTAACAAATGCCATGTAGACATTGTTCCTTCTCCCTGGACAGCCATTCTTTCACACTGCACAGTTACAACACAACGGTTCCATTTTAATTTCAGTGACAACATTTTATGAAATCCTGGGATTTGTAGTTTTGTCAGAGGCAGCAGGGAACTTTCTGGCTTGGGATTCTAAACTACAGCTTCTAAGATTCTATAGGCTGAAACTATGTTAGTTCAAGTGGAATCACAGTTCTATCATTATGTAGTGCAAAGGGGCTCCAAATGTCTATTCTTCTTTGCAATCTGGAGACTAAAGCCAGCTCATTTACTCATTTATGTTCTGTGTCCCAGAACTCTTGCCAGAAGCCAGAACTCTCACTGATCCTGGGAGCAAAATGTTCTAACTGTATTTGTTTATTTAATTAAATGTTTGATTGTTTGTCTTTTGCTCAGGGCTGGGTAGCTTCCACCTTAACTAAAAATAAATTTTGATAATATAGAATATATGTATGTGTGTGAAAAACAAACAAACTGAATCCATTAAACAATAAAAAACCCAGATTTTATCAGATCAGTCATGATAAATAAAGTGGGATCAAATTGCTACAGTTGCATGGAGTGGGAGAGACCCTAGACTTTCCATGCAGATTACTGTTGTGTTCCTTGAAGTTGTTTCTGATTTATGGTGATCCTAAGGCAAACTTTAAGTGGGTTTCTGAGGCTGAGAGTATGTGATTCTGTCAAGGTCACCCAGTGAGTTTTATGGCTGTGCAGAAAATTGAACCTTGGTCTATAGGAAAGTAAACATACATAAATATCCTTAAGTGCCCTATAGCCATAAATTGTATGCTCATGTTTTTACAGATTTCCTCCTCTTCTCCACGACCACACTTTCCCAATGCTCTGACCCCAAATAGAATAGGATGCAGCATCCAAAAAGCATTAAGCAGTAGAAATGTGCATGCTAGCAGTGACAGATTCTCATTCTTGAAGGGTAGTAGCAAATCTGGCCAGCATATCCTGCTTTGTGTTGTGAAGAAGCAGAACTTAGCCTAGATTTCTGCAAGAACATGTTTCTTGGCTTTTTCCTTAAGATCCAGCTAATCTCATCCAATACTTGGGGAAAGGGTATACTTCTGAATCACAACTCCCAGAAGACCTCTACCACAACTGTCTGGAGTTGGGGAATTGCAGTCCCTCAAAAAAAAAATTCTAGGCTCTAAATTTTGTTAATATAGGTAAAGGTAGTCCCCTGACATCAGGTCCAGTCATGTCTGACTCTGGGGTGTGGTGCTCATCTCCATTTCTAAGCCGAAGAGCCAGCGTTGTCCGTAGACACCTCCAAGGTCATGTGGCTGGCATGACTGCATGGAGCGCTGTTAATATACTGACCAAGGAAGTTGGAGAACAAGGACCTCCAACAGGGAATTGTCTGTATGGACTAATGGCCATGGGTCTGTGCCTTTCCTTGTGCTGCTGTAGAGCTGGCATCACTTAGTGAGATCATTGGAAGCGTAATGTTACATGGATCAATTCTGGCATGCTATTGAAGCACTCTCTTTTTTCAAAAGTTCATTCATTTGCTGAGGACTGCTCTTGGGCATCAGGAAATACCATTCGGGTAAAACAGTCAATGTTCCCAGGAGGGGCTGTGGCTCATTATGCCCTCAGATCAATGTTATTGAAAAACTGATGTTTTGATATAGGTACAATGATTCCTCTTAATGTAGCACACCAGTCACTTCCATGTTGATTGCCTTTGAGCTGTTTCACTTAACCTTGAATCACCCAAAGTAGTGGTCAGCTGAAATGATCTCAGTTATTTTTTTTATTTATTTACCACACTTGTACCTCGCCCATCTCAAACCTGAAGGAAACTCCGAGCAGCCTTACAAAGGCAACAATTCGATGCCACATATAGATATACATATTGATAATTAAACAAATGCATTAAAATCCAGAACAATTAAACATCAAACATTAAAACATCACTTAAAACCACACAATCCAAATCCTACTCCAGGGCCGATCCAAGTTGTCATTATGCTATTTTGTAAACACTTATTGCACTGCTCCAATTTACCAATTGAAAGCTTGGTCCCAAAGCCATGTTTTTAGTTTTTTTCCTGAAGGTCAGGAGGGAGGAGGCCGATCTAATTTCACTAGGGAGTTCCACAGCTGAGGGGCCACCACTAAGAAGACCCTGTCTCTCATCCCCACCAGTTGTGCTTGTGATGGGGGTGGAACCGAGAGCCGGGTCTCCCCCAGTGATCTTAGCCTCTGAGGTGGATCATAGTGGGAAATACATTCGGATAGGTAAGCTGGGCCAGAAGAGCTGTGTAGGCTAAAGCCGGTACTTTGAAGTGTGCTCAGTAGCAGACTGGCGGCCAGTTACATCAGCACAATGAATCTTTGGATGGTATTCCTTTATTCAGTGTCTTTGGAGCCATAGTCTTTGGAAGAATCATCAGCCAGGTATGAGGCAGAGGGAGAATGCAAGGCAAAAATTTACAGCAGAATCTGACTCAAGAATAAGTTTCTCTGGGGCCTATGCAATTTACTCCCAAGTAACGAGGCGTAAGCCTCATATACATTGAAGGTTTGCAATTGTAGTAGCTAAACATGGGTGGGGACATTTGCATACTATTTTGAGTATTAAAGCAAATATTGCAAGTTCTTGTGCCTGTCAGTTGCAATATATTATTGTTTTCATAACTCCACCAACATTGAAAGATACAAGTCTAGCAATGGCAATAATTCATATCAAATAAAGATACTTTCTATATTCAGAAACAATATATTTATTTACTTCCCTCATTCCTAAAATGAGCCACACACTCCACAGGGGACAATTTGATTTTTAAGGTTATCAGCCGAAGAAAATTAATGTCAGGTGACAGGATATCCTCGCATATTCTCACCAAATACACACAATCAGGTTGGACACAACTTACCCTGAATTCAATGCAAATTACTCAAATTAATTCATTCTTTTATTTTTCTGTTTTAGGGATGCCATGTTTTTTGGAAACTTGTTTAGATCAAGTTTGCCTTCTAGGCTTCCTCCATGCAAATCAGAGTTCACTCTTAGAATAATAAGAATTATCTGTCACTGGGAGGGGGAGTGCAATCAGGATTTTAGAGATGTGTAGATGGGTCATTGCAAAAAAAAAAAGGCTGGGAACCACTGATTTACTAGGGGGTGGCTATGCTTTGCTCAACTTAATAGCTTTATCATTGCTGTTGGAACAGATGGAGAGGGAACCTCTGACCCATCCAAAGTTTTGTACGATAACTCCCGCAGTCCCACACACCAGTCATACTAGGAAGGCTTGTAGTTATTATAAGCTAAAATAGCTATAAAGCCAAAGACCCCTTAACCCCACAGTTAGGAGGGTGCTTTTGATTTTCAGGAGAGGGGGCAAAATCCTATTGGAGAATAGATCAGCTGAATCAATGAAATTTACCAATGTTTTGTCTCATTATGCACTACTTGATTTAATGGGTCTGTTCTAGTTGGGTTACCGGCTGGATACAGAGTGCTATCTCTTTTTTCCCAAATAAATATGGATTATTGTGGTGGGAGTCTGGGCAATAACTACACTAATAAAGTACTTCTCAAGCTAGGAAGTATGGCATGACTAACAATTATTTTTCCCAACACCCCAGGAACCATGGCTATAATTGTGGCCATTGCTTGCAAGTGTTTCTTTCTTTCCTGATACATGACATGGACTAAAAGCTAATGGTCTGGGGACCAAGACTGGTCCATGGTCTACCATGTTAATACATCTAAGAATTAGGGTTTATTCTGTAGTTTTATGTTCAATTTGTCTAGAAAGATGCATAATGGTAGTAACAAGGTCCTGCAAAAAGAGAATTTAAAGATGTGTTAGGAAATGGTCTAATACTTAACATGCTTGTGAGGTTTTCCCTTTATATGTGGGATTGCTGAGTGTCACCCTTGAAACATATTTGTTCTCCTATAACTCTGTAGGAAGAAATTATTATCAGAATGAACAGTGCCAATGGCCATAAGAAAGAAAAATAATAAATATCCCTTTGAGCCATGAAGACATTAAAAGCTCTTTTCTAATCACCTTCTTTTCTATATTTCTCTCAGGCATACCTGCTGGAGGAAGCTGCTGCCTGGATGACAACCGGAAGCTTTCTGATGGACAATGGACAGCCAGTCCTGAGCAGAAGAGGCATAGAAATACAGATAACAGGCTGGCACCATTTGCTAGTTCGCAGTGAAATCATGCCTGCCCTCTCCATGAAAGCTTGCTTTTAGCCATTTTTATTTTGTGTCTTTTAGTAGGCTTATTAAGTCAGGATATCTTTGCAAATATATCCATTAACAAAATGCAATAGGTGATTATGAATACAATATGTTGTTGGAGGCAGTAGAAAAAAACAAGCTACGTCTTGGTCAGGACATAAAATGGCTTAAACATACCAAAGTTTGTAAACCTGCAAGAATCCATGGTTTCATTGTGTTTGTAACTGGGTAAAAATCCATGGGCCACATGGCCAGACAGGTCTGAACACAGCAAACCAGAATTCAGAAACCATTGACTTCATCACACTGAGCTGGAGAAAATGAGTGAAAGCAGGGGAAAGGGTGGCATTTCATGGGATTCTGTCTTTCAAGAAGACGAGGAATTTGCCCACACCCATCACACTAAAGACCTTTCCACATGGGGCAAAACCTCCCTGTTTTGTCACTTTATTTCACAACTTGGATGGGGCCCACCATGCACCATCACATGATGCATGGCAGGCGCCACTCACTTTCCTCCAATGGCGCTACCTGCACTTTCCTTTCCAAATCCCTGTATGATGGCAGAAAGGGTGGTGAGACAGCATGCAATGCCACCCTTTCGGCCATCTGATGGGGGAAGGGAAAGGGTGCTTTCCTACCCCCATCATTTGATGAGGGGAGGAGGGAGGGCATGCAGGGAGGGTGCACAAGGTCGTAGGGTCACCTGCTCCAGCTTCTAACTCAACCATCTATTTAAGTTCTATCACATGAGCAGGCAATCTTGCATTTCAAGGATACCAGCACACTTTTTAAAACAAGCATCCTTTAAGGCAGCCCTGCTTTCAAACCCCTTAGACTGAAACAGAAGCACCTTTCTGAAGGTGGCACTGAGGACGTTTGCAATCAAGACCCATGACTGAAACAGAAGTGCGTTTCTTAAAGCAGCACTTTCCCTGAGGTTCTTTGCACTGAGATTTCCTCCTATTGTCCCTCCACATCACCCCAGATTGTAGGAAGTGGTCTTAAATAACTCTTATCTTTCCCAAAGTCTTAGCACTGGTGATCTGGAGAAATGGGCACTTCAGCTCCTCCCATACACCGCATCCTCGTTTTAGTGGGCAATAAAAGTGGGCAACAGTGATTAACATCACACTAGGAAATTGGCCATTTGGCCTATTTCTATGCAAGGAAATTTAAAAATAAGTCATTTGCCAATTAACTTAGGAATTGTTGGAGAAACCAACGCTTTACAAAATACCTCACCCCCACAGTTGAATCCTGCATCCTGTGAAGGGCACAGTGGGTTGCCATTTCTTAAATGTGTAGAAATGCTGATTTTATGGTGTGTGATGAAGTCACATGACTGTCCAGCACAAGAGCTCATTAATGAATACCTCACTGTACTACAAATCCCAGCATCCAGAAGCATTGGGTATGCTATAGCTGTGTGATGTAGACAGCTTCTGTATCATGTGAGGCCTCTCTGAAATCAGTTGACCATCTGATTGATATTTCAAGGATAGCAGCCCAAAGCACAACACTCAGGGCGGCTTTAGAGACAAGCTGATATTCAAGCCAAAAGCAGAGAGCAGGAAGATGCGTGTCCCCCCCCCCCCCTCTACCAATTCCATTGTAATAACATCTCCTAAACAATCTTAAGAATTATAGTTTGCTGGTGGGAATGATTGTCAAGCCCATTTAAGTTTATAGTTCAGAAGAGTCACACCATGGTCAAATTCCAACACAGAAAAAGTATGTGTAAGTTCATTCTAAGTATATGTAAGTTCATTCTAAGCCATGATCTGAGCTTAATTTTGGATTGTGAACAGTATAATATACATTCCATTCTCCAAAAACTGCTCTGAGGAACGTTGTAGATGCCGTGATTCAGCGATGACTCTAAAATCCTGATTTTCGTTTTTCTTTTTATGCTGGCTGAGATTTATCTCCCTTGGAAACTATTTGGGCAATGACGTCTTGTCCTTTAGTTCAGCCTGTCCCTTTGACTCATTGTGGCTAATTCCCAAACTTGGCTATCATTTTTGATTTCCCATCCCGAATCTATTCTCAGTTTGGAAATAATGTTATGTTTGGCAGAGTTTCCGAAACACAAATCTGGGCTTTTGGTAAGCTTTTAAAGTGATCTCAAGTCTTGAGAAGTCATTTTCTTCTACCTTTCTCTTAGGCATTGATGTGGAGCTTCCAAGAGGCCCAGGTTGTATTCAAAACCTAGCAAAAATATATATTCAGTATATACTACATACGGCACAGAGCTTTTAAATATAAGGTTATTTGTAAATGTCAGGGAAAGGGGATGCATCCATTTTGGAGAAGAATATATTTTTCAATCTGAAATAAGGGTATTTGGAAAGGTTCTTGGTCTCAGTTGGACCTCTGATGGAAAGTATTTGGCATACATGTTATCCATTGCTGCTTTGTAGAATCTGGTGAATGCTGTGAAAGAAAGAAAGAAAGAAAGAAAGAAAGAAAGAAAGAAAGAAAGAAAGAAAGAAAGAAGGAAAGGGAAAGAGAAAGGAAAGAAGGAAGGGGAAAAAGGAAGAAAAGAAAGAAAGGAAGAAAGGAAGGAAGAAGGGAAGGGGAAGGAAAGTTAAGTTAAATTCTGTCATTTTTTCTCAGCCATCAAAAATTGGGTTTTTACCTCCTCCTTCCTTTTATTTAACAGCATGTGAAATGAGCACCATGTTCTTTTTGGAAAGATCCTTTAATGGCCTTGCTCCCACCTCTCATCTGAAGTTAGCTGCACAACATCTCCTTTATGTCCTACAATGCACACCTCTCCCTGCGGTTTGTCTGGAGAGAGTGCTGATGCATGATAGATCCTGTGGACTGTGCATGGAGCAGACAAAGGGCAAAGACAGACTGCCAAGGAGCCAGATGAAGTTCCAGCCCCTGGAGCTGCCATCTGCTTCTTGTCAGGTTGTTGTGAAATGCTTGTTCCTGGCTGTCTGATGACGGAGGTTGCTGGACAGCAGCAGAAGGATGTGGTTATGACAGATGCTCTGTTTGCTGTGCTTCATGACTAGTTGGGATCACACAGAATGTTAGCTCTTGCCTGGGGAAGCCACAGCTTGATCTCCCACTCACTTCTTTCCTCAGCACATGTCCGTCAAACTGTCATCCTTATAGGGGAAATAGGGAGACTTAATAAATAATAATAATAATAATAATAATAATAATAATAATAATAAAACTTTATTTATACCCCGCCACCATATCCCCCAATGGGAACTCGGGGCAGCTTACATGAGGCCAAGCCCAAACAACAAATTACAGCAAAATAAAACCAAAAACACAAACAACAGACTTCGCACTATAGGCCAGATTCATACATTTATGGCATTGAAGTTAAGCCACAAGAACTGCCACAAATACATTAAATTTGGTCTCTATTCGTGAAGGCACCTCACAACTGTTTCTAGGACTGAAACCACCCTACAGAATATTTAGTGCCATGGCTCAACGTGAAGTATTTCTGTGATTTGTAATTTCTGTCAGAGTGTTCTGTTGCCACCACAAATCACACATTCCAGGATTCCATAGAATGGAACCAAAGCAGTTAAAGTGCCATTAAACTGCTATAATTCTTAAAATTAGATGATCTGTTGGTCTCTCTGATAGGGAGAAAGGGAAGAGGGTCTGAATATTGGGTTTTTGATGAAGGGCCAAACTGGATGATAAAAGGAATGCATATCTATAGCGATTAACATATTTTTTCCTCCACTGATGCCCCATCAATCATATTTGAGAAATAAGTATGTTTGCTTGTTAATATCCAATCACAAAAGGAAGCATAGTTAAATTATAGAAGTGAGAAAAAGCAAGCTCTGTGAAAACAGAGATCTTCTGTGACTTGAGGAAGCTTCTTAATACACATTAAGCATGCTGCCTTCTTTGTCCCTTAGGTTTCTACCTGCCTCCTAATTGAGTCTGGACCTTTCTTTCCAAGATAATTTGACCACTATATAATTGTAGGTTAATACTGAAACTACATCATTGTTCATGTTAACTCTGAATTCGCCACAGTGGTTTCTGCACTATTCTACAGATCCCAAAATGCCACACAACTTATAAGCTAGAAAAACAAAAACAACACAGCTATATGACAAGTGAATTATCTAGTAGTAGATGTTGATTTATTGACCTCTGAACGTCTGCTCAAAGGCACAAAAGCAAATAACGAAGCGTACTACCTCAGTCAGCTCCAAAACCTAGAGCAGCTCTTATCTTTTATTGCAATCTACAGTATCTACAGGAGCAGAATAAAATACATCCATTCACCTAGCTGTACATCACTGGACGCAGGAACACATAGTTATCTAATTTCTGTGGAAAGTAAATACATTACTGGATAATACTGGATACTGCATAATAATGTTCTTAAACATGTTGGGATGCCTGAATAAAGTAAGATCTGTTCAGAAACATTGGTTTTCCTCCTAAGGGTGGAGAAATCTGTGGAACTTATTCAGTGAAATATGATAGCAGAATATTACCATCTCTAGAACATCCTCTGCTGCTCTCAAGCAACCTACGGCAAACATTTGTCTTTATAACTTTCCTTGGTGGCATAAACTTTGAAAGATTGTAGTTGTTCTTTCTTCATTGTAACCCCCTTACTTCCCCTCTATAGCTTTTACAGGAAGACTGCTGGATGGATGGATACAAGAACTCCTTCAATGTCTCCCAGCCCAAGGTGCAGTGCTGCATCTCTGGTCAGTTGTGAGTCTGAGATGAAGCACTGTAGCTCGGGAAGGGAGGAACGAAGCAACGAACAGTGCCAGCCTCACCTCTCTTTTGCCAGGCCACCTGGAATGGGGGAGCCTAGACAGGTATGTCTTCCAAATTAGAGGACACAGCTCTTCAGCTAGAATGATATACAGTATATACTCATGTACAAGTTGACTTCCTGTATAAGTCAAGGCCAGACTTTGGGGCCAAATGTATGGATTTTGATAAGATCTTTGAATTAATCAAAGGTCATTCCATACAGAATGTCACCTCAAAGGGTCTGCTGACCATGGCTGCCATGGCTATTTCCGTGCCCAGATATTCAAAAAGGTCAGAAGCAATACCATGCCAGAGAGGATAGAGGGAGTCAGTACTTATTTGGGTTTTTTTTTTAAGCCAACTAAGCCCGTGCTGTTTACCACTTGTCTCAGGGAAGGTGATCGTTCCTTTTTTATAATG